CGCGTTCGCCACCATCTGCTGCATCTCCTGCCTCGTCATCACCACCTGCTGGCCGAGACGCTGTTCCCCCGTCGGCAGCGGTGCCGCTTCTTGTACCGCCACTCCTCGCTGCAGCGTCGCGGCCAGATCTGGTTGCGGCGGCGCTGGGACCGCCGCGCCTTGAGCTGGGCGGGTTTCTTGGGCCCAATTTGAACCCACACCAGCCTCTGGTTGCACCGATGTGACTTCTGCACCTTGGGGAACAGGCGTCGGAGTCACCGGTGTAAGCAAGGGTCCAGAGATGCCCGGAGGTGGGCCTTCTCCAAACGGCCTCGTCATCGTCCACGCCTCATCGAACGATGCCTGCAAATCTCTCCTTGGAATTCCGTCCGCCATAGCTACCAAGCTTCAAAAATCTTAGCACACCACTTTTCGAACGAAAGTCCCCACAGACGGCGCCAAATGGTAACGCAAAACACTTCAACCGGCTCGGAATCGGTTTGCCTCCTTCTTCCTCGCCGATAGAACGCCGCGCTCCTGCACAAAAACTCTCACACCGGAGGGGTTTTCCGGTGAAGAGCCTCCGATGCTTAAGTCAGTATGTGTTTTTTCAATTTTCCAAAGTGAGTAATGGATAAATCGTAAACCCTAAAAAAGACCCACTCCCCTATATATAGGAGTGAGATACCTGCCCTAAGAGCTGCCCGGCTATTTGGTGAGCTGTCCTGCTCGCGCTGCCCGTCCGTACATACACAGTACGCGTATTGTCAGAAGAGTCAGGGACGTCAGAGGTGGTTACTGCCACTTTTACTCTGCACCACTGGGTTCTCGCCACGTGTCCCCTTTTACGCTGAGGGGAAATATTCCTTTGCATAGGCCGTTGGGATTTACGCTGAGGGGAAATATTCCTTTGCATAGGCCGTTGGGATCCCTTGATATCACCCACGCGCCTACTCGCGTTCAGGTCACGCTCTCGACTGTCTCCTTCCCGCTACGCGCTCGACATGGTCGAGCTCCCCTTCGCTAGGTCGATCCTCGACCAGCCCTGCCATTCTGCTCGATCTTTTCTGCTTTGGTCGATCATACTTTAGCCCACGCGGTTTTCTTCCTACTTATGCCGGTTTGACCGTCGTGATAAGCCGGTCTGTTCTTTAGTCATATATCAATGTGTTTCGTAAAAAAGTGTTGAATAGGGTCTTAGAGATATTAATTGTACTTGTGTTATCACAAAAAAGAATTATGGTTTTTACTTTGAAGCCAAATTCAAGCATCATTTATTTCATCTACACTAATTGAGAGCAACAACTTCTAGCAGAGATATATTCAACCTCAGAAGTGGATAGGGCCATGAACATACTGAAGTATATGCTTCACGATTTTCAGATGAGACTCCTTAAGATTAGACTGATAATGAAGTTATAAGCATGGTTAATGTCGTGTCAATTGTGCTACTGATATATAGGCACGACTAATTTATGTAGTTGCCATATAACTATTAAATAGTCACAACTTACATGTCATGCCAATTTTGGTTTTTCTACTAATTGTGTTTGCTGTAGTGATACTAACAAGATTATTAACATTACAAAATTATAACATTCTAAGGACTACATGTCATCCTTTTGTATACGACATGTTTCTCCTTCGAAAATTTTTAGGATCGATGAAGTAAACATTACAATACACAATCATATAGATCATAATATATATCACATAAAAGGTAATATTTGGCTTGATATTACTCAGAATCGTCTCAACAATATGATGTCATGACAATCTCGAAGCCATAGAGGTCAAAATGAAATTAAAAATTGAAAATGTAGAAAAAAAAAAACATAGAGTAAAACAACATATTTATTAGAAAATTTTGAACACTTTTATTGAAAACGTTCCCCAAAACTCAACTCAATCTCCTCTCGCAACTAGAGTGAGCAAAAAATCTCTATAGTTCCCATTGGCGACATCTTCAATCTTTTTGGTAAGATCCACACCAAATTTGTTGTGGTATTCTTCCTTAATTTGCTTCAAATCTACATCTGCTCTTGTCACAATTACTCTAGTCAACCCTTCTTTGCTTATCTCATCCGCATCATATCTCAATGATGCATCCAAGACCTACAATTAATATAAATCATTCATGTTCGATGATAAGTTTGGTTTAGAAGGTGAAAAATATTGTATATAGAAATACGTTAATTTTAAATTTACCTTGAAGCTTACATGTAATATATAATTTATATAAAAGAAAAAAAATTATAAGAAACGTAAAGTTTATAATGAACTAGACATAACTGATTAGATAAGTTGGTTGCAGTTTTAAAAGTATTTAAATAGAATATTTATAATAATTATCTAGACTAAGCTCAAGGATCTTGTTTTATATAGTTTGTCCCTTTTTCAATTATGACCTAGCTAGACACTTCAATTTATGGTACTTTACCTGGCTAAAATATTTGTGTGGTACGCATAAGCACTGTACCGCCACTTTGACAAGGTGGAGTCGCCATCAATATCCTGCAACACAAAAATTTAAAATCAACCAATATTAATTAAGAAAAATATATTTTCATTATTTTCACAAAAGTCATGCATTATTTACTTGATAATTAATATTATAAAATTAACTTGACATACATGAAAATAAAAATCATTGAATTCCGTATATATATACCTCATCTAAATAGTTGCCACTAATTTCCTTATAATGGTTGTAAACTGCGTGAAGATGGAGCTTACTCCTTGTGGATAATATCCTCACAACCTCTTCATTTTCCAATATAGGACGACCCTTCTTTTCATTTTCCCTTATGGCATCAACAAGTGCTTTGGCCTCAAATTTCGCAATTTCTTCATTTACTTTTCGACCTTCATACCTGTAAGAGCTCAAAACTGCAACCAAAAGCTGCACAACAAAAACTTTCCTCTAATTAATATTTAATTAATGTATAGTAATGTGTGTATATATATATATATATATAGGTTAATTTAATTTGACCTTTGTTTGGGGTCCATGAACGTGAAATGCAACATCTTCCTCGATGGAGTGATTGAAGAGAGAGTGATAAGCTTTTCTAGCGCCCAATAATTGATCAGAAGATCTTGTGCACGCGATTTCTATTAGCAAATTGTTGTATTGAGGTCCTTTGTTCAACCACTCTTTCAACAATCGAGCATCTCTCTCCCAAGGGTGCATCGTCCAAAGCACAATCGCATCCTATAATTAAATTACTACATCTTACTAAAAAACCATACAATAAAATTAAACAAATATTATTGTTATATAGGTTAGGTGGATTCATTATTTTTTTACTAAAAACTAATAATTATAAATATTTATTTATACTTTTCTTAAATATGATATTTTAGCTTGAAAGTATCTTTTAAAATGGCTATTTAAAAACTTTGGTCATCTATTTGTTAGCTTTGATCAACACTAGTATTAAGCTAAGTGTAGTTTTACTGTTTTAGAGAAAAACACCATCATTACAATTTTTTAGTATTGCCAAATATACACTTCTTTAATATCTACTTGTAGTATTATTGCACATGTGTATTTAACGAGTGTTAATTAAAAATTTATACTTAAAAAGTTAGAAAGATAGAAGTTTTTATTTGAAATTTAAATATTTTTTAAAAATTATTTTTTTACTTTTTTTTTTTTTCAAAATAACACTCAATACTTGTAAAATCCTCTGGTTATTTTGTAATAATTTTTTAAATCATATAATAGACTTAATAGAAATATTTATTTTTATTTATTTTTAATTAGGAAATATTAGATTATATAAATTTTATTTATATAGGGAGATATAATTCTTTATATAAATGGAATATCCCCTCTTTAATGTAATTTCAAAACGTGCTGAACCTAAATGGCTGGCTCGCACACTTCGGAAGTTTACTTGGCAACATTACATGCTTCGACTTTTGGTTCGGATAAAAATTAATACAATTATATTCCAAAATAAATAGGTTCGGACATACTATAATTATATTCCCTAATTGTTTAAAATTAAATACTTAATAAATAGAATTTTAAATTCATCACAACTTCACATGGTTCCTACCTTCTTTTAGGAGAGAATTTCAATTTCCACACGATGCTGGATTTTGCCATCAAATCCATAGTTGTTTGAGAAATAAGCTCATAAAAATCCGAATACGAGTTCGTCCATAGATTTACATTAATTTTGACAAAAATAAATATATATTAAATAAAATGAATAATATTTCATAAAAATAATTTATATTCAAAATAATATTAAAAAAATATTTTCTTATTAATTATTTATAATTTTTTAATTCACAATAAGAATTTTATTTTTTTCACTTTTTGGTGGGTAAATAATTTTTTATGGAACACCCATGTAGTACACGGACGTTGTACTAGTAGATATTAAATCAAAGATCATCAAAAAAATAATTAATTTTCTATATCATGTATTAGAAATGATAACAAAAATAATATATTTTCATTTAAAATATATTTATAATTTAAGTTGATCAAGTGTTATAATTTTAAAAATTAAGATAGACTTGGATAAAAGTCCAAATCTACATATACTACACCTATGCACCAGATTTTAACATATAAGATTATGAAGCTTCACACATAAGATTACATAGCACTAAAAGTTGACAAGTAGGTTAATTTGAGATATAGATTACATTAAGATCATTTAGATGCAAGAAACTCTGCATTTTTATAAAAGATGAATATTTAGATAAAAAAGAATTTATACAATAAATAATTTAAAAAAATCAAACTACAAGAACGTTTAAAATTAAAAGTAGGGAAGGCATAAATCAAGCTAATATTTTTAATTAATTATATATGTAAAAAAAAAAGCCAGCTTGGTTTTGAACAAACAAATAATATAACAAATGTATATATTATGCCACATATTCTAGTAAGCANAAACTACTCTAAATTTCTTAATCACTCCGCCTCTAACCAGCTACGTGCACTTAAAAAGATTACATGACAATTTAATTTAAAGGAATATATGGATAAGAATAAGATGTTAGCGTCATTTTACATAGGTTGAAACTTGAAAGGCCGAACTTTATTTTTCCTTAGATGAAACCTTGAAGAGAACATTATTTATAGTTTGGAAAACTTATGTAATCACATATCATCAAACATGTAACTTTTCTTTTTCTTTTTTTTTTTTTTAATTATTATTACTTTATTTAAAGTGTAGTTTTTGTTGAGGAGATGCAAGTAGTAGTGTAGCACTTATACTTTGGTGCGAGGTTATTTCAGGCATTTAATTCTCTTAAGTTTGATCTTTCATTGTTCTAAAGACGAAAATACCCTAGAGAAACATTATAACGCCAATCTGATTAATTAATTAATCCATTACTTGATACTATTATACCGTTTCATCATCCGCATTAGTTTAGACTGTTTAGTTAACGTATGGTCGAATTGAATATTGATGAATTGAAGGTACTGTCCGGTTGGAATCTGACATTGTCATGAGGAGGTGGGACCCACAGAAAGTGTGATAAATGTGATGTATTAAATAATGTTTGTGTGTGGATCGAATTTTTTGCTCAATCAATGAACCAACTAATAAGCACGATTCAGTTTCATCAGCAAAACCTTGATGGATACTGCCCGCCAAACACACCAAATTATTATATATGGGCCATGCAATAAAACTCAACTCAATGACGCGTTTGACTTGACAATGGTGCAAAGATAACGTGCTCAAATTTAAAATCGGTAACTCAAAATAATAACAAACTTATAAAGAGAGCATTTTTATCTTCCTATTTATAGAATATATATCATCTAAAATAACCTTTTTCATTTTTAGTTTTTATTCAATTAGTTAAGCCTCACCATTAAAGTGTGTAGCTGATCAAGGTATCAATCATCATTATAGTCGTGTATTATTTGATTCTTATTGTTTCTCTACCCTTCAATTACCCTAATTATTAAAACGATATTATGAGCAAATATATAATAAAATAAAATAAAAACAATTAAGCTTGTAATGAGATTAGGAATACACGTATTGTTGATCACTTACATGTGTAATATGTTGATCATCATTATAATCATGTATCCTTTTATTCTTTGTATTGTAATTTAACACTTATTGCTGATCACTTACGTATGTAATATGTTGGTACCATGTTCAGTGCTTTAAAAAATTGGATTAGGTGTTGTACTAGTCCAGAATTTTGCTTAGGTGATCCATCAAGGCGCTCGGTCAATTAAGTGACGTCTACGCAACTCTAAGGAGGTCAAACTACATTAATGCTAGTCACACTAAATCCATGTGTGATGAAGATCGTGTATCCCGGTAACTTGTTTTGCTTCGATAGACGCGCAATAGGCCTTCTAAATGATAATTGTGTAACCGACGAGCAATAGGCCGTCATCTATACGATTTGTGTGGTAAAACTCGAGAAAATTATAATACACGAGAGTTGTTCAAAAGAACGATTTTTTTATTAACTTGAATGATATGAAAAACCTAAACAATAAAAGTGTTCTCGTGCACGGGCATGGACGCACGCACGTCCCAGCGCGGCTCGCGCGTATCGTCCCAGCGCGGTTCGCGCGTCCCTGCCTGTTTCGCGCCCGCGAACACTTTCATCTAGGTCGCGAGTGCCCTCATTGCCCACGAATGTGTTCGCCCAACACGTGAGTGAGTCTCAGGGCTCACGTGAATGCCTATCGCTGAGATGCTCGTGCGCATTGTCTTGTTCTACGTGTGCTCTCGTGCGTCCCATGCAGTCTCGCGCTTTCGCGCCATCTCGTGCATGCTATTGTGCGCGGTCTTCATGTGTTCGCGTGCAGTCTCCAGTGACTCGTGTGGCTTGGCCTATAGCGCGACCTTTCTCGTGTGTGCACGTCGCGCCTGATCATGTGCATTTGCGGGCGCTAAACCTCCATTCGCATCATTCTCGCCGCCTTTGAGCACATCCTTGTCCTCAAGGATTTGGATGTGAACTCCTTCCACCATTAAGCTCTTCGGCTTGGTCGGATCCCTTAACTTTGTCGTCTACATTGGCCAAGAATAATTCGACATCACCTTCCCGTACTCGCTCCAAACTACTCAATTATGCATCCTTGACCCTTTTGTTAGCCTTGGTTTTTAAATAGACTATCCTTCATCCCAAATTAAACCTCATCGTTACCTCTTTATAATTCGTCATAATTGGACCCAGGCCTTCCAAACATTGAACCCCAAGTACCACATCTAGCCCCACTAACGAAAATGCATAGAGGTCGGTCCTTAAGGTCTCGCCTTGAAGTTTGATGGGCACCTCTCGAAAATATTCCTCGCCCCGTAGTTGCTCCCCATTGGTCACTCAGACATCAAAAGGTTCCACCCTCGTTACCAGCAACTTCAACTCATGGGACAAAATGGAGTTAATGAAATAGTGTGATGATCCGTCCACTTGCCGGTTTTGAACCCATGCAGGCGATCTCAATGTTCTCGACCCCTTACTCCCCATCGCATGAACCAAGATTTCCAAGTCGTCTTTGATGTAGTTCATTGGACTGTTCGTGTCAAGCTCCTCCTTGTCATCTTCGATTGAGAATAGTTTCTTAAACTTATGGCCTGGTTTAAATCTACCATTGCATTGGAAGCATAGTTCCTTATTTATCCTTCGTTGTCTCTCCTCCTCGGATATCCCCCAAATTTCTTTGTTCGTTGTTGCCATATTCTCGCCCTTAGGAATGTTGTCTGCGTATTGCCTCTCGTACCGAGGCTCTGTGTGCTGCTCACTGTTGTACGTGTATGCGCGGTTCACCTTGCGCACCGCAACCAGGTGGTCGTAGCACATGTGGGCGGCCTCCATTGGCTTCCCGCAGCATTTTAGGCCTCATCAAATGCACATTAATGGCAAGATCACGTTGTAGACCTTCGACGAATGCTCCAGCGAGCATGCTTTTCGGACAATCGCATATGCGACTCGCTATGCGCTCGAACTCCTTTTGATAATCACAAAGGCTGCCTGTTTGCTTGATATGTGACAAGGCCTCATCATAATCATGGTAGTCCGATGATCTGAACCTTGTGATTAGCTCCTTCTCGAAATCAATCCACTGGATTTGTTTGTTTCTCTTCCGGTAGCGTATAAGATCCATTGCCACCATATCTTCGTCTATCCATCTAGTTAGTACGCGACATACATCACCCTTTCAGAACATGAGATCTCGTTGAGGTCAAAATATTGAGTAGCTCGACTCAACCAAGCATTTGAGT